CCTCTAAATCATATATTATACTAAAATGAAATATATACCTACTCAACAGATGGCACAAAATTATGGAAAAGAAGATAAAATGTTCTCCTTTGTAGCAGATCATGTTAACTAATGGCGTAATTTAAGCTCTAAATACTTGAAAATAATGTTTAAATTCTTCAAAAGTGAAATGTGAATAAATTGACAAAGATATGATACAATCAAACTCATTAAAGAAACAGATGCGGAGAGGGGTTGATATGAACTATGAACAAGGGATTGTTTCTTCGTAGTATTGTTTTCTTTCGGGTACGTCTGGTCGAAAAACAAAATAAATAAATCCTTCAGTTTTGAACTTTATAATGTTTCCGTGCAGAAAAAGTTACATTGTAACCTGTATAAATCATCCAAAGAATTTTCTGTACGAATAGTGAGGCCGGAGTAATGTTGTTTGCTCTACACAGAATATCCGATAGTGAGGCCGGAGTAATCGGGTTGTTTATAAATACTCGCACGGTCCGATTACCGTATATCAACATTTCTTAAAGCACACGAATTCATTTGTTTTATTGTATATCACTTTCATTAAGTATAGTTAGTACCCCAACATATATCCACAGTAATTTTCAAATTCATTTGGTACTTTAGGTCGTGCATTTTTTCGTTGCTGATCTTCCTCGATAGCATGGAAATATAAACGTGTATGCATACTATCCACTCTTTCAGAATTTTTCTATTCAAAGATTCACTTATCAGGAGCATACCATTGCATTTTCCTAAAAACATAAAATACAAAGCAATTAATATATATATTGACAGTTTCTGTACATTTGCACCTATAACGTTACACAAACACCTTTGTACTCAACAAGATACCTCCATGCAGATTCTATATTTGAAGTCTTTGATGTTTTTGCAATCATCAGGTATGCTAGCAGGTGTTACATCAGGTCATTTATAAAATTGCCAAAAAACAATTCCGAACTGACTCAGAAAAGCACGACTGAACTTACAGAAATCTATCATATTACACAATTTCTTTATATTTGTTACCATTTGATGTTTTCCTTCACAGGGTCACAGATTACAATAGTTATTGAAGAAGTCAATTACATTGTAATTTTCGCACCTGCAGTTCGAACAAAACATATTTTATCAATCTTAGTTTAAACGTTTATAATCAATCACTTCCGAACGTAACCTTTTGTAAGAATGAATTACGGGTGGTTAGGTTAACTGTTCCTTACTGATACTGTTCTGTGTGTGGTTATTTTGACATTATAGGTTTTATTATTATTTGACGGGGAAACGTGTTTTCTTATTCAATTATTGGTTTATATAGTAACAGTTATGAAATTTAAAAACCATAAGAAAAACCCGAGTATTCTTTAGAATTGAAAACAAATCATTTTCAGACGCGTTATATGACGACTCGAATGTATTGTCTTGAAGATGTTGTCGGTTTGCTGTCTTATCGGTGTTTTCCACACGTTTCCTGTTATTCATACTATATATGAGCAACTCGATTAGCAAAATTGATGTAGACTTCCAAAAAAAAAAGAAGAAAATTCCATTCCATTTTGAATTATATCAATTATTATACAATATGCATATCTTTCTAAATTTTATTTGAATGAGTACATATGTGAGTGATTTTTTGGGAATACATATATTGTTGGTTTTCTGTCTCATTGATGTTTAAATCCAACATCTCCTTTCGTTCATACATTTTTATAAATCTTCACGATTTTTAACAGAAGCCGGTAAGGGCCACTAACAGTGATATCAGGATGTCGTTATTTTCGACGTTATAACGACAAAGCTATATACGATGTCGTAATAAAATAAGGACACAAAATAGTTATGTACACTGTGGCCCAAACCGACTTCCGTAATATTGTGGTGTGTTGTGGTTTTCTCACAAGAAGTTCTAATTCAATTGAACCACATCGCTCGTCAGTGGCCGATATCCATTGTCTAATGGATAATTCTATTTTCTTTTTACAAATCGGTTAACCAAACATGCCATTTAAAAATTCATTTTCTTCACATCAGTCGCATTATTTATCGATGATATCATTCTTATCTTTTTCCCTGCATGAAGCCGTAAAGCCAAAAAACACATTTAGTATTGTATAAATCGTTGGTTATGATTAACTTGCAACTAAACATCTTATTAAGTCAATTATAACAGTTCTTCATCAAAACCATGCGCAATGTTGGAATAACGTTCTAGTCCCACATTATGCAAATATTCTAGATCATAATTTGATTTTTAGACTATTAGAAAAGCAAACAAAAGGGAGAGAAATTAATCAAACGGAATCTTTTTTGTCAGTTAAAGCATCAATTTATATTATCCGAAAAATTACTAATAGTTACTGGTAACAAGATTTCACGTTCAGATAAACAAGTCTGTGGTTTAGCTCCATCTGTGAAGTAAATGTTACATAAAATTACTGATTTATTAAGAACTATCATATAAAATAATAGTTTTACTTCCGTTTTATAAGTAGTTCTATTAGGTTTTATGCGAATAAACAATATAGTAATCAAAAGAAGACATTTTTATTGTACCATAAATGTTACTTTTTAATAAACGGTTTTATGTGGGTAGAAAATTGACAAAAGCGCCTATTCGATAAAACAGACCTTCTAGTAGAATCATAAAAATTCAGTCGTTTTTATCATATTTTTTACTTCTTATTCAACCGTTAACGTAAATATTTTAAATCGTAGAGGAAATCATTTTATTACTATTCTAAGACCGTTTTGAGACATGTATTTTTATGTCCTAATTTTTCGAGAAATTCTAAGATTTAACCTATCAGTAGACACTTTCAAAAACATTATTTAAGATTAATATATGACCTAATATCATCTTAGGACATGTCTTAGGAAAGATACGACTTAAGCCGTCTTAGTACATGTCTTAGTCCTAAGATCACTTTGAAAACCAGGACCCAGGATATTTTATTCAGTCGGGTGAGGCATATGTTAGATTTGACTTAACCTTGGTGATGCTTTGCTTTGAATTAGACTATTTATATGAAAAAAATAGTGAACATAAAGACCTACAGTCAGATTGATCGAGTTATGATGTATCGATATTAAGCGACGAAACAGAATCATTGGCTCCTCTAGTTTCTCTAAATTCAGTTAAGTCAGCTTTATACCTTATGCCTCGTTCACACGGCATTGAATTGAATTGAATTCGAATTGAATGCGAATAGAATTCGCTAATCGCGTCCACACACTCTTCTTTTTTAATTCGAATTGATTCGAATTGGCTAAATCGCATTATCCAATTCGCATTAGAAATGCGTTTTTGTTAATACGAATTAAAAGTTAACGTCGTTCGGATAGTAAAGCGAATTTGACGCGCATTGCAATTCGAATTAGAAATTACGTTTGGACGTAAAACGTTTCGAATGCGAATTAAACTAATTCGAATTAGTTAATGCGAATCGAATTCGAATTACGTGTGAACGCAGCATAAGAATGAAGCTGACAGATCAGATTTTTGTCAATACATACATGCAGTTGATTCTTACGAAAACTGCTGTTAAATCGGTAAACCAACTATACGACTTCATAATATAAAGATAAAGGAGATGTGGTATGATTTTCAATGAGACGATTTTCCACCAGAGTTCAAATGATGATGATGTAAACAATTATAGGTCACCGTACGGTACGCCTTCAACAATGAGCAAACCCTATACTGTAAAGTAAGCTATAAACGGCCCGACATGACAAAACGTGAAACAATTCAAACGAGATAATTTACGAAAAACAAATATAATAGACATGGACCAACGACAACCACTGAATAACAGGCTCATGACTTGGGACATAAGCTGATCTTTTTAAGAAACATTATAACAATTTATGAGTAAAATGTACAACAATTTATAATTTTTACAGCGTGTGAATAATTGAGATACATTTAGCAACCCCGTCAGACCTGAAACTTCTGCTAGGTCAATATAAAAAAAGGGACTAGTGACAAAAACGAACGATACACGTATTTGCTGATTGCTATTGAAATAGAAAAAAAAGTAGCTGTAAACCGATAAAACAACTCTTATAGAACGCTGATAAAAAGTTTTAATCAAAACAGATTACTGACGACACAGATATTCATAATGTTACCCAGTCACGATTACACATGGATTACTTCACAAAGGTTTCACTCGACGAACAGTCAGCATTTATACTGAATACACTGTGAAGGCTAAATATAATTTTTAATATCTATAAAGAAATTCATTTTTTTTCTTCTTATGTTTTTTCATCATTTTGAAAATCTGTTTTTTTTTATTATTAAAAGTGTACGCAATGTATTTCGTGGTCTTTCATGTTCCAAGCTGAAAATATCGAGAAAAGAAGGATAACTCGTGATCAATTTACAAAAAAAAAATCGTTTTAGCCAGTGATTAAATCACGGATGCACACAACATTATTAATCGTTTGATTTTAGGTTTTACCTGGAAATTATCATACCGAGAAAGCGATAGCTTTGTTTATTTGTACACTTTGTTAGAGTTACAACTGGTGAAATGATGTGGAGCGAAATTCGATACACATAGAGCAGTATTAAAACACAAAAGCATAGAATGCTTTTCTTCTTTGCAAATCAATTTTTTTTGTGAACATAAATTGACAGATACACGTCTACAAGTTTGTTTTCGAAGCTCTAGTACACACTCACAGTACATAACTTTTCAATGATTCTTAAGAGGTCAATTCAGTAGACTGAGGGAAACAGGATTTTGCCATGAACAGACAGAACGGAAATAGAAGATATAATTTGAAAATAATATATGAAAAGTGTGTACTCTTGAAGCTTTTCTCCATCTGCTTTTCTCTCTACTTATCAAAATAGAGTATATTAAAACTGAAGTAAAAGTACATGTACTTGAAAAAAAGATCAAAAAAGACATTTCTTCTGCATGCAATATAAAAATGGATCTGAAATTACTTTTGTAAAACTGAGATAAATATAGCACTCACGATGCAACATTATTCTGCTCTACTGGTGGTTACCTCGCCAGTTAGAGAGATCGATCCGATGTCTTATTTACCGACCGTCATTGTTTGTACTCATAATGTGGTAGTTAGCTCAAGCAAAATCATGTGATCTATAATATGGCGGATATTTGTCATGCCTGAACTGAAACTTGGTTGTTTGGTTTCCAGCACTGAAAACAAAACAATATAAAGCATTCACATTATTTGTTCAAATTGAACATTATAAAAAAGCTTACATCTAATAAATATTCCATAAGTAAAGATGATTTATTGTGAATGACAATGTCAATTCGTGAAGTTAAAGTGTGTTTACTAGGGGTAAGTTTCACTTTCCAGAAGAGTTCATTTATATTCATGAAAACACTTTGGACAACGTTTCATTTACCTATATTTCATTGAGTTTGTGATGTTCCCTTCACACAGGATGATTCAGTGGAAATCGTTTTTGCTGGTGTTGATTGAGCGACTGAGAAACAGGACACTTGCTGATCATGCTGATGGAGTTGAGTTACAACAACCTGGTTTTTGACCCATAATGAAATGAATGCATTAATTGTCTGATCCATAAACATATGTGACTGAGGATAAATGAGAGAACAAATGTGTACTAAACTTACATGTTACTAATATGAAGCAGATGTTACTGATGAAAGAGGACATTTAATTAATTTCCGTATATGTATAGCTATGTATTATCATGATTATAGCATTACATTTGTACTTATATTTCCTGAATGAATCAGAATACTACTGTGAAATGATGTTTAATTCTAAGGCCATCAATTGTGTTTACATGTTGAAATGGATCTGGTTATATCAAATCGATATAACGCAATCATTATCATTTAAAAACAATCACTCAATACATTTTGTAAGTCACTAAGATAATTAACCCTATGCCATTGGCCTCACAATTGAAAGATAAACAATAAATAACCAGTTTACCAAATTGCAAAAAAAAAAATGCTTGGAAGAATATTCCTACCATATTAAGCAACTATATAGAATGGTACAGTTACATTCTTCTTTTATTGACAGGAATCTGGAGTTGGAAAGTCCAGCATTGTTATGAGATTTGTGACTGATTCCTTCAAACCAGCTTTAGAAAGTACTATAGGGTAATATTGATTATGCATTATGCAATGAACTTGTTTTATGTGAATTGGATGATAGTGATCATGGTGATGGATTGGTTTTTAATGTCTAGTGACAAATATTACATGCATATCAGAATGAGAACATGTTGATGTGATATGAATTTGAACTTTTATGAACAGTAAAAACAACAATTAACATCAGACAAACACAAAAGAAGAAAATATGACTTTTTCACTTATACAAATAAACAAAATCTGAATGACTAACATGACTAAGGGATATACATATGTAGCTCTACCTATAAAATAATTTATTTGAGCGTACCATTAAATAAAAAAAAAAACCACTTGTCTAAGTAAGTATTACCCCTGACTGATAGATGTATAATGTAAAATTATACAAAACAATGAATGCACAAGTGAAAATAGAGAATGATCTTACTAATAAGAGACACTTCTATTTATGTAGGATGGATTTCTCTTACATTTACTGTAGCGTAAAATGTATACCATGTTGGCGGATAATTTTGATCAACCTGAAATCTGTTAACATTATGTAAATGAACATAATGAAATGTCATTTATATGAAAGAACCTGATGGATGACCCAAATAACCAGTCTTTAGGCAGTGATATTGTTGTCTTTTTTCAAAACTACCTCTACCGTTTTTTATTGGGAAAAATGCATATTTTTTAATGAAATTGGGAAATTTGTATATTTTATTCTACACACATCTCCGATTTTTTGCTGACCTTTGCTGTCTTTTTTGTACTGTTTTTTCGTGTATATTTTGGTTGTCAGACATTTTCAACCTGAAAGGTACTTTTCGGAGAGGGAAAAGAAACAGAAGCAATGATGGTACTTAATGCATTGAAACCCACATGTGTTACAAACACCATGATGATTCTGATCAGAAAACCGGATCTCAAAAGTGCTTTCTAATATCAAAATAATAACATGAATACGATATTTACATACACTACTACCAATGCCATCACTGTTTGGGGAAAATGTAAAACTTTTTGGGAGGAATTTTAAGCCATTTTTTTTAGTAATTGGGAATTTTCTCTAGGGGAAAAAGCCGAATTTCGGCTGTAATTTGTGGCAAACAATATCACTGTTAGGTTGTACCTTTAAAATTTATACAAAATAATATCAATCCAAACTTTTAACTATAAAACAAATTTGAGCAAAAGAATAATGAAGGTGAAATTTGAGTTTGTATTAATCAGACCTAGATATTAAATAATGAAATCAGAATATTTATTCTAAAAAAAAATCTTTAAGTTTTCATGTATCAGTGTATTGCATGCTTGATTTGAGGGAACATGGTGCCCAAGTGGTGTAAGTAAATCTCCAGTCTGTCCCACTGAGGTTATGAGTTCAAACCCTGCACATGGTAGGTGCACTCAACTCTGATTTAGATTGACTAGGATTGCCAGTTTCCTGTTGAAGATTGGTGCTTCTCTCCAGGCACTCTGACTTCCTTCTCTAATGAAAACTAGCCACCACAATATAGCCAATAGCACTGTCAGTGGTGTTAAATATCAACAATCAATCAATCATTATTCATTTGGTTTTCAATCATTAATGACAGCTGTATATTACATAAATATATTCCTTTGAGTTTGGAATTTATGTCATTATCATTGATTATAGTAGTATGAGCTGTGTCTGAAATCTAATGTTGTACCTTAATTCTTACTCAGGGCTTCTTTTATGAGTAAGAAGATTGCAGTTGATGATCAACACTATGCTTTTCAAATATGGGACACTGCTGGTCAAGAAAAGGTACGTTGAATTTTGGATTAAAGTTACAAATGTGAAAGAAATGTTGATTACTGTGCGTATTGCTGTGTGTTTGTTTATTCTATATTGGCTAGAGGTATAAGGGGAGGGTTGAGATCTCACAAAACATGTTTAAACCTGCCGCATTTTTGCGCCTGTCCCAAGTCAGGAGCCTCTGGCCTTTGTTAGTCTTGTATGTTTTGTAATTTTAGTTCATTTATTTGTTTTGGAGTTTAGTGTGTCGTCCATTTTCATTGAACTAGAACACATTTTGTTTAGGGGCCAGATGAAGCCCGCCTTTGGGTGCAGGATTTTCTCGCTGTGTTGAAGACCCATTGGTGGCCTTCGGCTGTTTTCTGCTCTTTGGTTGGGTTGTTGTCTCTTTGACACATTCCCCATTTCCATTCTCAATTTTATCTTCTTTTGACAGAAATGACGTCACTTGTCAATAAAGTTACATTGTGTTTTGGATGAAAAAAAAACTCTTTGGGTGAAAAAAAGATATTGAATTGTCAGCATTATTATCACCTCAATCACAGAGTTGCCAAAGTCTTTTGATCTCTATCCAGCAATTGATGCTTATGAATAAAAGGAGATGGGGAGTATATATCAGTAACACAGCAACCCAACAACACAAATAACTAAAAGACAGCTAGAGGTCAACATATATGCGACTATTTAGGCTGATTTTCTGGCAAACATCATGTTGGGATGTTTGAAAATCATAGGCACGTTTGGCCTGATTGGGGATGTCAGATCTGATACCACATGTTAGGAGAGCATCACATTCTCACATGCTGAAGAACCCTACAATAAAACTTTGAAGATTCACTAGGTGACCTGTTGCAGGGTAAAATTTCTGTCCTACCAAACATACCATCTTTTTTAAGTGGTAGCCAAAATTTTTCATCCTATGTCTAGCTAACCTACATTATAGAACTTACATATTTTATATATATTGTATTTTCGAATGAAATATTTGCTACTAAATTTTAAGCCAAGAACAATGAATCATCTATCAAAATGAATAAAAGGAGATATGGGGTATACAGTTGTGAGAAAGCAACAAACAAGGCATATAGCCTAAAAATATTTAGAGGGTAATATAGTCTTCAACAATAGACAGCTGTCTATACAATATGTCAAATGCAAGCGCTGAATAACTCAGAGATGAAAAATAAGTTGTGAATAAATTAAACAGATCAGTCTTTAACACCAAATTCTCCAAATGACAAATATATGTATAATGTAAACTTTATTTATATATTTTTAGTATAGATCCCTAGCTCCCATGTATTATAGAGGTGCTGCAGCAGCCATTGTTGTTTATGATGTATCAAGGGATGTAAGTTTCAAGTGTCAGACAATGTTAAGTTAAAACTTAAAATGAAAATTTAGTTTTATACTCAGTAAAAACAGAATAAGATTAGCTCAAACAGAAGATAACATTTTAGAAAGTGCTTTGGTTTATATAAAAAACAGTTGTTCTATTATTGTTAGAAAACCATGTGATTCGAACGAAAAAATTAACAATATAATAACAGCACTCATAGCATACATAGCAATGTTTTGTCTAAAAATCTATTGATTTACAAAACTGCATCAAAAGCTTTCCACACAGTTCAATTCTGATACAGTCATTCTATAGAGCAGACTGTCTGAATTAGAAAGAATTTTTGGTGGTTTTCCCTTTTAAAGTAGGAATTAATGAAGAATACATTAATACAGGATTATTTTAATGAAAAAAAGGTTGAATATATGTTGTTGATTTATTTTCTTTGATTAAAACTTATATTGTAAAATTCCCAATTATAACTAAGTAGAGAAGGGCAGTACTGTAAGACCCCAGAGTGAGACACATTTTGTCTTCATCCCAAATAGAAAATGTAAGGTTCAATAATACTAAAAAGAACTAAGTTGTGGTGTACATGTCAATGAGAGAGCAACCAAACAATACATAAAGCCTAAAAGACAACTAGAGGTCAACATGTGGGTTTTGGTTAGAGGTCAACATGTGGGTTTTGGTGAGAGGTCTACATGTGGGTTTTGGTAAGAGGTCTACATGTGAGTTTTATTGATTTACATCAGCTCTTAAATTGTCAAGGAAGTTTTGAATGAATTAAAAAAGAAAGACTGCTAAAGGTTTTCAATCAACATTAAAGACTAATGAAATACATGTACAGTCTAACCTTAATAAGCCAAAGTGACCCAACATAACTATTTGACTTTTCTAAGTTTACAGTCATCTGAGGTTGTGATATACACATCCCATTGTTCCATTATTGTACGTTATATCTCAACCTGGTATGTTAAGATGAAAACACATCATGGTTTATAATTTATGTTCATTTTTCTTCGAGGGGACTTTGAAATATACAAGAGTTTACCAAGATTTCTAATTGCCTGAGTTTGATACAACAAGGTTTGACTGTATTTACCATGACTAATGATATTCCTTACCTGGGGCAATGCCGCATTGCCCCAGGTAAGGAAACGTGGTTGATTTGAGCTAGTTTTCTGAAAACTCAACCTTCCCATTATCTTGATCATCAGCAGCAATTTATCAAACAAAAGAGAAAATACACATTAAAATAAGTCAGTGATATAACTATTACATGTGACAAAATCAAATTTATAATTAAGCCAATACTGAAAACTGCGGTTCATTATAACTTGTGGGATCTCATTTTTTGTGGATTTCGTGGGTAAAGGTGCACCACCAATTAAATATTCAACGACTTAAACATTTTCTAAAGGCTTGTATGCAGATTTTGTCAAAACCATGAAATCAAATATCCTTGAAATGCAAACTTTCTTCAATCCACGAAAATAAATGAATCCACAGTACTAGATAATACCATATATATCAGGGAATTATCACAATTACTGTATATATAAATACTGGCAAAGTCATGTATGCCTGCTTGTCTTTTCTTACAGTCAACGTTCAAAACAGTGAAAGATTGGATCAATGAATTGAAGAAAAATGCATCCCATAATATTATACTGGCCATTGCTGGAAACAAGTGTGATCTGGAAGATCTGAGAGAAGTTAGCAAACGGGGTAAAATTTAGATTAAATCATCATATGTCAATGAAATTGAATACAGATACTGTAAATTAAAGATTAAATGTGGTGTATGGATAAAAGGAGATTTAAAGCAGCCATAGTTAAAAACCATATTGCAAGGTTTAAATTCACTATCAGAATCTTAAAGATTATGGGTAATTTTATTGTCACAGAAATAGATTGTTATACAGGTAAATGAGGATAAAAGAAAAAGAGATGTATATGAGACTAAAACTGTATGTTATTATTGTCTAAGTTGCTGTTCTTATTGAGATCTTCTTGATAGTCATTACCAATGAGCTCTACCCAAGATCAGGTGGTTTAACATTGGCATGTAAATTACTCTAAGAAGAAAAAGATAACACAGATAAAGAGTTTGGTAATGAAACTTGACATGATTATTCACCACTTCTAAAAGGTGTGTCTTGTGTAAGGAAGAAACTCCCCCAGGGAAAGCCATAGTTGAAGAATTAGTTCAACTTAGGCACCACTGCATGTGTGCAAAAAATGTTTTGGGTCTCTAACTTTCAAACCTCTTGGAGTTTGGATATGAAACTTTGCATGATTATTTGCCACTACTAGAAGGTGTGCCTTACAAGGCAGAAAACCATACATTGAAAGCTAAAATGTGTTAAAAAGTTAGTTCCAACTTAGCCATCCCTGTGCATTTGTACAAAATATGTTTTAGCTCTCTGACTTTAAAAACTTGCAATGAATTAGTGGTGCTTCAGAAAATATCTACCTTTTGGCTCCCATCACCACCCTCTAGTTAAGTTGTGTGGAGGGTAAATCAGTTTCACGAAATAGCTGGCATAGTCATCTCCTTATAATTATCACTCTTGGCGTTGTGATTTCAATATTTTGTTTCTAATAAATGAAATACAAATGATACAGACATCTTTAATTATATGTGTTCTGTAAGAGAAATGAACATACTGAAACAAAGCTCATATATTGTATTTTAGATGCAGAAGAGTATGCAAGTCTAATCAATGCAATATTTATAGAGACCAGTGCTCTGACAGCTGTCAATGTTCCTGAACTTTTTATGAAAATAGGTATGCTTGATTTATATGTTTATCATCATAAGGGTTCTGTTATCTTGGACACTGTGTGAATGGTCTACTTTGAGTTTTAATGTGAAGTAGGAATGTTACCACATATATATAGGTATTCAATGCATAAAAGCATTCTGCAAAATACACACTGTTCAATAGTGCCATAATACCTGTTTTAGGGAGAAAGCAACTTTTATTATTTATAAAAACTTCAGTTCATATATTAATTATCTATTTATTTATTTATTTACAAGAATTACTGTTTAAAGAAATTTATAGAAATAAATATACAATGTTCATGGATTTAAATTTTTTGTGTGAACTATTAATAAATTTTATGTTTCTATTCATCTGTTTATCAGCAACACTTTAGAAGAAATACCTGTTTTTTTTATCAAAATTCTTTAGAAATTACAGTATTGTACTCCTAACTCTAGTTGTCTAAATTCCCATAGCTAACATTAAGTAAAAGTACACAATTACACTCAAAATAAAATAGAAGTGAAACCTTTATAGTTCTAAATAAAATGTACACAAGCAATTGTGTCACAGAAAAAGGCTGGCAGTCACTATTTCCAATAAAAAAATAATAAAATTAACCATAAAGGGTTGGGGGCACTGCAGAAACCCCCTCTATAACCTGCCTCTGCAAAAAACATTAAAGCTGTAAGTGATAGTAGAATGTGTAGAATGATTAGCATAAACCTACAATATAAGGCTTGGGATAATTAGCATATCCTACATATTGGTAACGTTGCAAAAGACCTAAAAAAGCTGTTGGTGATGATATTGTTTAAATATCAGGTAGAAAAAAACTAAACCAACTGTTTAAAGGGGAAACAAAAATTGAAATCCAGGGGACAATGTTACAAATTACAGTACCTCGTGTAAATAAAAGAAGATGCATACAAAATGATAATATATATTGTTGTTTACATTGTTCATATCACATATGGAGCCTTAATACATTTACAAGGAGTCATCGTTTGTGTGGTCTGTTGTATTATCCAATATATTGCTATAATTCCAAAACTAAACAAGACTTACCTTGGTAAAAGTTGAAGTTCAGTTGGAATTTAACGTAGTCATCTTTAGTTGTAGGGATCAGATGAGATGTTCGTGCGCATGTGTAGCTTCAGTCTTCAAAGTCGAAGGGTTTGTGCATACAAAAGTACTAAGTACAACATCACAAAAAAGGGGAGGGATATCGGGAGGGCATCTGATCCCTACAAATAAAGATGACTACGTTAAAATTCCAACTGAACTTCAACTTTTACCAAGGTTTTGTTTTGGAATTTAACTACGTCATCCCGTTTCCGGGACCAGATGAGACTTCAAAGAGCAGAAGCCCTGAGATAAGTCAAAAAGTTATATTAAAAAACCTCCAAAAAAAAATATATCCCTCCTATATACATTTTTTAGTTAATTTTACAAATAAAGTTCTATGTACTCAGAACAGCTCTCTGAAAACGTCGTTCATTTGACTCGATTGGCTTCTTATAAAATTTAGCAAAAGTCTTTTCACTGGTCCAACCAGCTCTTCGTAAAATACATTCCACAGGAATCAGATTATGGAAAGCCTTAGAAACAACAGCTGACCTCGTGCTATGTGAAGAATATGATTTAAAATTTATTCCTGATTTGGACATAACAGTTTTGACTTATCTGCTAATTGTTTCTCTTGAGACTTGTTTAAACGGTTTTACATAACTTATAAAAAGCTTCTGACTATTACCGCGTGCTTTAGCTGTTCTCATCAAATATTCTTTTAAAACAGTAAAAACACACAATCTCCTATCTGGAGGATAGGCAAAAAGTTCAACAAAATGTACATTAAACCCAGGTCTATTTTGTTTCAATAAACCTGAATAAAACAAGGTATAACTATCCTTTCCTTTTACTAAATTGTCTAAACATAGCAAAAATAACGACTGTGTCCTACAAGCTGTGGATAAAACAATTAACATTACTAACTTCAATGTTAAATCTTTCAATGAAATATATTTTACGGGAGATAACTTCTGTAAAAAATTAAAAACTTTAGATACGTCCCAAGTTTTACTCTATCTAGGTTCTGAAGGTCACAAATTAATATATACACCTTTCAAAAGTCTGATGATTGTAGCGTTAGAGCCAACTGTCACTCCATTAAACATTATTCCTAAGGCTGACAAAGCAGATCTTGCACAATTTATCGTACTATAACTTAATCCTTTATCAAAAAGCACTGTTAAAAAATCTAAGACTTCATTTAAAGCTGGTTGAAGTGTATCAATTTTCCTTTTTCTTTTGGCAACACAACTGTCATAGATACAGAATCAATAATATTGCCTAAAAAAACAATTTGTTTGGCAGGCTTGAAAACAGATTTTCTTTCATGAATTATAAAACCAAGCCACTCCATTAAATCATTAGTATTTTGTACATTTTCTATGCACTCATCTTCAGTATCTCCAAGCAAAAGATAGTCATCAATATAATCTACATTCATATAACCAAATTGCCGTAAAGTTGCAAAAACAGGCTTCATTAACTTTGTAAAGATTCTAGGTGCTGATAGCAAACCATTTGGTAAACAAGTATATTGAAAAATATTGTTTTTCCATATAAAACGTAATAGTTTCTGATGTTCCTCTGCTATAGGAACAGAATAATATGCATGACGCAAATCAATTGAACTGAAAAAACAATTTGGTTTCACCAATTTTAGAGCCATTTCAAAAGTATCCATCTTGAAATGATGGGGAATAATAAATTTATTCAACTCTTTTAAATTAAGAATCACTCTATGCTCATTTGTATTTTTCTTTGGAACTGTAAAAATTGGAGAGATATATTGATCTGTATCAAAATTAACTTCCACTATTACACCCAAATTTTTCAAATTTTCTATCTCATCATTTATAATTTTTTCTTGGCCTTTATCAAAAATTCTTTGATATAGTGTGAGACTTTGAGTGGGTATTGAATTATCAATAAATTCAAGGTGACAGTGTTCAACTGTATCCAAAATAAATTTATCAGAAGTACTTTTTTGCCAGTTTTCAACATAATTTTTCAATCTACCTGCTGTAAAAGTTTTGATATCAGAGACACCTGCTAAACTTACCTGTTTAGCATAATTTACTTCCTCCGGAAACTTGGAACAGCTCTCAAGTTTTTTGAAGCACCTTGATCATTTGAATACTGGCCTCTACCACCGTAACCACAGCCACGACCACCTCTGTATCCACCACGACGAGAGCCTCTACCAAAATCTCGTCCTCTACCAAAACTACCTCCTCAAGAAAAAACATTTCCTCTACCTCTTGCATAATTGTTATTATTTAAATTATGACCAAGTCTGTTCATATCTTGAATTTCTTTTGACTTTTGATGGACATTGTCACCATAAAGCATGTCAGTGAAAGGAATTAAGGGTGAACTCGTGATGATATTCAGGACTTAAATCAAATCTTTGATATTCCTTTCTCTTTACATTTGTCATCTTGTTATATTGTGACAGTAAAGCTAACGAATCAATCCCCAAATCTATGCAAGACTGCATTTCTTGTTGACAATCGTCACCCAAGTCAGGTTTTAGCTTACACAACATGTTTAACAATTTTGTAATGTTACAAGATGCTTTTACAACAGTTTCTTGATGCTGTTGTATAACTGAGTCAAAGGACCTAGTTTGAGGAGAGAGTAAATCCCAAATAAGCTGATTAACTCTAGTTCTTGTAAGAGAAACACAATTCTCTGGTCTAGCCACTGATTTCATCAGTTCATTGTATTTTTCATCAGAAATTCCCTCACGGAAAAATTCATTAACAGTATCAGCTAATGTGTCATCTACACTTGTATCTACATTATCTTTAGACCTGTAAGCTTGTGCAGCAGCTTTAAAAACATCATCCTCTTTGTCAACAGTTTTTTGTTTTTTAGCTGGAGGTTCCGCAACCTCAGCATCTATAACATGATCATTATTGTCATGATTATTATTTTGATCATAAGCTCCTTCAGGGTCTGCACCCTGGCTCTCATCGTAACCCTCAGGCTCAGCAAAATACAACTCGTCTACCATAGACTTGAGAGACACGAAATCAGTTTTTTGTGAACTCTGTTCTTGCTGTATATTTTTCAGGACTGAAAAAACATCAGCTAAAGTGGGCTCTTTGCTAGCTTCGCTAGTATTTTGACTAAAAACTTTTTGTCGTGAAGTAACAGTTCCGGCCTCGCCAGAGCTGACAATCTTTGCCCCATTACTACTACTTGTAACGTCATTCTTGGAACGAGAATCATCACAGGATGCTTTTCTTTTAGGGTTTTTTCCTTTTGCCTCATTTGAAGCACTAGAACCTTTCTTCAAAGATTTTGCATCAGTTTTAGAGAGCATGGCGTCCGCCATTGTTACAAAAAAATATCAACTGCCGTAAATCGGTCTAATTACCGTAAATTTACAACAGAGAAAAATAAATAGATAATAAACCCCTCGAGTTTATTTACTTGATTAAACAATAAATAATAACTACCTCGTAGTTATAGTAATAAAATATTTCATTATAGAAGCTATAAATACAGACCACGTCTGCCTTCTATGAAATAAAGCTACGAACTGAAGCTACACATGCGCACGAACATCTCATCTGGTCCCGGAAACGGGATGACGTAGTTAAACTCATGTTTTCTTTTTATGTTTATTAAAAAAAATCAAAAGCACCAAGATAGGCCTTGGTTATACAATCAGAACTATATTAATTGTTGTGTACGTTGTTCATGTATCATATATGGAGCCTCACTATTTATAATTTCATATGAAAGAAACATTAAATTTTCATTGCAGCTAGAAGTCTTCCAAAGGATGATATATATTCCCCTAGAACTACAAGTACATTGAATCTCAGATATACACAATCAAAGCCAAAAACCGGTTGTTGTGGAGGTCAGAATTCACCGTCATGACCTACTGTGATATATAGGTTAGGAATATTTATATGTTAACACATTTTGTTTTTGTTATCAAATTGCTAGTTAGCATTAGAGGATAATAATTATATTTTTTCATGGTTGTAGAACAATTGACATAATTTCATGACATTAATCTTAAAGGTCATTGGTCTATTTAAAAGATGTTTAAAAAAAATAAAAAAGGGTTCTTATTGTATGGGGAAATAGTTTATAGATCCATTTTGGAATCAAATAAGTGTTTCTTTGTGCTCTCCTGATCTTTTTATTTTTTTTCTTCCAAATTTTGGGTCTGTGGCTGTTTCCCTCAACAAAACAATTTTTTGTTCATTCTTTAAAAATCTCACTAATAAATGCACGCAATAATTTCTGAATTTACAGTATTTGATTTGATAAATCTTTGTTATATTGTTTGGAATCGATATACATGGTTTGAATAGAAGCTTATTGCTTCAAAACTTTGTAAATCAAAAGTTTAAAAAGAAATTAAATGTCAAGCATGGATTCAGGATTTGAGGTTAAGAGGTTAGGGGAGTGAACTTATAGTTTCACTCAGACGAAAAACTAATATTTTTCCAATTTTATGGGCAACACTCCCACTACCCACCATCTAAATCCACTTTCAGTTTGAAATAAGCCATGTGTGTTTAGGCAATGTTAATAACCATCAATCAACTTAAGTTTTATTTTTGAACATCATCATATTTTATCACACAGTGATTTTCTGCAATAGCAATTTCATGTTGATGTATATTCAAGAGGGTCATGATGGGATTTGTTCAAGGGCGAATGTGAAATACAAGTTTTTGACTCTTTTTCTTTCTAAAAATTGGGAGATGTTGTATGACTATCCATTATGACCAAGGGACAAATATGTGAACAATTACAGTTTACATATGCATTTTTACTTGCAATAGGCATAACATTATTGAAATATAGACTTTTTAAAACAATATAGATTAAAGAAATGTAGATATAGTTTTATTATCAAGGCTTATAATAATATCTTTTACCACCATATACCAAATTAATGTTTGATTTAACAATATTTTTACGAAGTAAAATAACAAATTATTTGTTCTGAATGGACAATTGAAAATAAATACATGTGTATTGTAGCCATTATTACTTATGAAAGAAAGAATGTTGTTATTTAAAGATAATTTTTATACGACCGCAAAAATTAAAATTTTTTTGGTCGTATATTGGTATGACGTTGGCGTCGTCGTCGTCGTACGGCGTCGTCCGAAGACACATTGGTTTTCGCACTCTAACTTTAGTTTAAGTGAATGGATCTCCATGAAATTTTACCATAAGGTTCAATACCACGAAAGGAAGGTTGGGATTGATTTTGGGGGTTATGGTACCAACAGTTAAGGAATTAGGGGCCAAAAAGGGGCCAAAAATAAGCATTTTTGTAACTTCCAGACATAACTTGTGTGTAAGTGTATGGATCTCTCTGACATTGTACCACAAGGTTCCATATCACAAAGGGAAGGCTGTAATTGATTTTGGGGGTAATTGCCTGAAAATTTTAGGAATTAGGGGCCAAAAAAGGGGCAAAAAACAAGCATTTTTCTAGTTTCATGACAATAACTTGTGTGTCAGTGTTTGGATATTTCTGAAATTGTACTACAAGGTTCCATATCACAAAGGGAAAGCTGGAATTGAGTTTGGGGGTAATTGCCCGAAACGTTTAGGAATTGGGGGCCAAAAAGGGGCCAAAAATAAGCATTTTTCTAGTTTCCAGACAATAACTTGTGTGCAAGTGTATGGATCTCTCTGAAATTGTACTGCAAGGTACCATACCACAAAGGGAAGGCTGGGATTGAGTTTGGGGGTGATGAATCATAAGGGGGTTAAAAAAAAATTTGGGGGGGGGAATTTTTTTTTTTCTTTTTTTCCTTTTTTTTTTCTTTTAAAATTTTCCATTTTAAGTTGGTTATTTCTGATTTATATTTAAAAGCAAATAATAATGATATGGTAGGAGATACACACCAAACAGGATGTGTAAATTATTATATAATAAGTATTGTGCAATAGCAAGAAATTTTCAATTGCACAGTATTGCACAATAGCAAGAAATCTTCAATTGCACAGTATTGCGCAATAGCAAGAAATCTTCAATTGCACAGTATTGCGCAATAGCAAGAAATATCCAATAGCACAATATTGCGCAATAGCAAGAAATTGTCAATTGTACAGTATTGCGCAATAGCAAGAAATATTCAATTGCACAGTATTGTGCAAAAGAAGATACTTCGTATAAATTGCGTATTTCTTGATCAATTTCAATGGGGTTTTATTCTTGAATTCTTGGGGTTCTTTAATATGCTGAATCTAACCGTGTATTAAGTTTTGGATTTTGGGCCCCGTTTTTAAATTGGTCCACATTGAGGTCCAAAGGGTCCAAAATTTAACTTTGTTTGATTACATCAAAAATTGAATTATTGGGGTTCTTTGATATGCCGAATGTAACCGTGTATTTAGATTCTTAATTTTTGGTTCCGTTTTCAAATTGGTCTACATAAAGGTCCAAAGGGTCCAAAATTAAACTTAGTTTGATTTTAACAAAAATTGAATTTTTAGGGTTCTTTGATATGCTGAATCTAAACATGTATTTAGATTTTTGATTATGGGCCCAGTTTTCAAGTTGGTCCAAATCGGGGTCCAAAATTAAACTTTGTTTGATTTCAACAACAATTGAATATATGGGGTTCTTTGATATGCTGAATCTAACCATGTATTTAGATTTTTGATTTTTGGGCCCCGTTATCAACTTTGTCCACATTGAGATCAAAAGGGTCCAAAATTAAACTTTGTTTGATTTCATCAAAAATTGAATTCTTGGGGTTCTTTGAGATGCTGAATCTAACCATGTATTTAGATTTTGGATATTGGACCATAATAGGTGAATGTCCAATTTAAAATTTTTAAGTTCTTAGACCACAATCATTCTGTGTCAGAAACCTATGCTGTGTCAAATATTTAATCACAATCCAAATTCAGAGCTGTATCAAGCTTGAATGTTGTGTCCATACTTGCCCCAACTGTTCAGGGTTCGACCTCTGCGGTCGTATCAAGCTGCGCCCTGCGGAGTATTTTATTAAAGTTCAATTAAGTTGAGAAAATTTTACTGCCTCTGAATATGATTTGATGACTGCAAATAACTGCATGTGTTTGTTCATAATTTTTAAAACTAGATTTAATGCTGGAAATTATTGAAGTATAATATACTTACCTTATAGATGAGATATTTTTGGCAGTAAGTTTCCACTTTTTGAAAAAAAAATTAATATTAATATTGCTTCTCCTTCTAATATGATTATTTTTATAATTTGGCAAATGATTTCTTGCACTCTTATATAAGAATTCCCTATCTAAAAATCTACAGATTTATAGATGACTTCATTGTTAATTCCCTAAAATGAAAATATCATTACTTCCTGGGTTGAATACCTATTGTTAAGGACCTTGTTAGCCATTCATAATATTTTGACATGTGCTCTTGAGAATATTACACAAAATGCAAAGATGCTGAAATGGGGAATTGAAAAAGACTTCTAAAAAACCAAATTGAATCATGCTCAATAATCAAAAACTATTATTAATAAATTTTCCTGATCACAATAATGTAACTGTGCTTTTTGTGTGACCATTGTTGATTTTTTGTATATTTTTTGTATATTACCATTGTTAAAACCTTTATCATGTTTATATTAAATATTGAAAGTTAAAAAAAAATAGAGAGCTTGTTGATGTTCATATATATATATATATATATGATATGGAGTACTTAGTTTCCTCAGATCCCCAGAGGTTTGGTTGGAATTATTATTGGCAAAAGTTTGATTTAAAGTGTTTTGAAAGCCTTTTCAGCTTTCAATATACCATATGTCTATTTGGTTGCTTCTGGTTATATCAGTCATGTGTTGCCCTCCTAATTCCAATTTCTGCTTCCCTTTTAATGTAAAATGATTGTGTGTCTTCTCCTTTTATTCACCTGGCGGGTATAAATATTGAACATACATTGTGTCGGTCAGTGATATATAGGAAATACAGTTTTACTAGATATTTATTTAGCTGAGCAATACAACAGGTGCCACATGTGGTGCAGGAATTGCTTACTATTCCAGAGCACCTGCGTTCACGCCTGATTTTTTGTGAAGTTATTGTTGTTTAGTCTTTAGTTTTATTGTAGTGTTTAGTAATTTTTGTTTAGTTGTTTAATTTTTGACCATGGTGTTGTCTGCTTTTATTGGTCTTTAGTTTGCCCCCTGTTGTTTAATTTTTGGCCATGGTATTTTCTGATATGGACTTTAGTTTGCACCTTTGGTATTTTCTCTTTCTTTATTTTTAGGATTTATTACATGATTGTACATGATTTTACGATATATTAATGTTGCTTTGTTATTCTTTGAAATATCTAATATTTTAATGATTGATTGTTAGTTGCTTGTTTAATGCCCTTTGCTCCTTTAAAGAGAAAAAAGAAACAGGTTATTTAAAGCCAGATGTACTCATTGGATTCATACAAAATATGCAACATATCTTAATTTTTGTATCGCTCATTCAGTACTTAAAAAGTTTTTAGATATTTATATACTGGTACCTATAATAATAATGTAGAAAAAGTACCCTTATCATATTACAGCTCAATATTAACTAAAAATATAACAGCTCTATATTAACTAAAAAAGAAAGCCTAAATTATATTCTGTACCCGTCCTCCCCCTAAAAAAATTAAGATATTTGTACGAAAATTGACTCTTGTTACAGAAAATCTAGCAACAAAATATTTTTCTATGTCTGAAGTTAATTTGAATGAAAGGATCACATAATGAGGCAATTTTTGCAGTATCTGCATTTTTTTTTTTTTGTATTAAAGAGCTTAAGGCCTCAAGAAATTATGTAAGACACAATTTAGATAACTGATATCTTCCAAAACATTTTCTCCACGATTAGTGTTACAGACATTTTCATGTATTTGCCAAAGTCATGTGATTTGGTTTGCATAGAGCTTCCACATATTTTTAAATATAAATGTGATCAACTCTCGTCAATTTTTTTTTAATTAAAGTACTACATACTTTTCTGCACTGAGGTTGAGGTGTTAGTTATTGAAATTTAAGCAGACTGATATTTAAAAACAAGACTCCATTTATTAACCATGTGTGAAGGATCAAGTAACTGCAGCTCCTGTTTTAAGATGCAATGATATTGTAACTTGATGCTATTTGCACAAAATATTGTATATTCCTTGCAAATATGGCTCTTAAACAGCCAGAAAAGGCTTCCTTAAACTTGGTTTTATATATGATTTTTTTTTTTGTAAAATGAGTTATCTTCCGTTTTACGTTTACAATATAAATCTTCATTTTATACTGGTTTCCTAATGTTACAAAAAGCAGTCAAATAAATGAACCAGTACAATTTACT